GATGATGATGGCGGTGGTGATGATGAGGATGATGATGAGGATGATGAGGATGATGATGGTGGTGGTGGTGGTGGTGGTACATTTGATGGCGGTGGCGGTGGTGGCGGTGGTGGTGGTGGTGGTCGTCGTCGTCGTGGTCGTCGTGGTCGTCGTGGTCGTCGTGGTCGTCGTGGTCGTCGTCGTGGTGGTGGCGGCAGGGACTGTGATATGGCGGTGCAGGTGGTAATGGTGGTGCTGGCGGCGCTGGTGCGATTAACGATTGTCATTCTAGCATCCTGCTCTGAACTTCTGAACTCCCGAACCCTCCGAACCTTGAGCTCCTAAGCTCAAGAACGCAGAAACCTCAAACTCTAAGACCCAGGACAGCTTTCCCCCAAGGCCCTGCTCGGAACCCTGTTACACCAACACTATAGCCCTTAAACGCTTAACCTAAATTGCCCAATCCCGAACCCCTTTCACGCTATCAATACCCTCAACCCCAAATCCCTGGAAAACCATCACCTATACAGCAGAGAAGCCCCAAAAAACCTTCTCTGTGTTGCTCCTTGGTCTCTGGAGCCCCTCTTCTTGCGGCTCTTGGAACCCAATGTTGCCATTGTAGCCCCAACTCTGAACCTGAAGCCTCCAAACCGCAATCAATATATATATATATATATATATTTATTTATTTATTTATTTATTTATCTATTTGTTTATTTATTTATTGATTTATTGATTTATTTATTTATTTATATTTATTTATTTGTTTATTTCTTCATATGTATATATGTGTGTATATATATATATATACTAGTTGCTTTTCTTACCACTTTTCTCTAAATTTTATCATCATTTTCCCAAACTTCAGGAAGCATGAAACTCACATTTCATGTCAAGCCCTGCTGGGCGGCTAAACCCTAAAACCTAAAACCGCAAACCCCAAGCCCCAAAACCCTAAAAGCTTATATCCTAAACCCTAAACTCCAAAAGCAACCCCGAGCTCTAAAACCTAAAACCCGAAAACCCCCTAAACCCAGAACCCTAAACCCTTAAACCCTGAACCCTAAACCCTGAAACCCCCAAACCCTGAACCCTAAACCCTGAAACCCCTAAACCCTAAACCCTAAACCCTGAAACCCCCAAACCCCGAATCCTAAACCCTAAACCTTAAACCCTAACCTGAAAACCCGGAAAGCCACGTAGGCGTGCTTTTTCAGGCGAAGGCTCCCACCGGCCACGACGAGGCCACGGCCGTTCTCCCGGAGCTCACAGGACTCCAGCTCAAGTCGGGCTCCCTCCGAGGGTGTAGGGCTTTTTAGGGTTTAGGGTTTAGGGTTTAGGGTTTAGGGTTTAGGGCTCCCTCCGAGGGTGTAGGGCTTTTTAGGGTTTAGGGCTTTTAGGGTTTCGGGTTTAGGGTTTAGGGCTCCCTCCGAGGGTGTAGGG